AAACATTTATCTACAAAATGCGCAACATGCTCTGGCTTTGCTTATTATTTTATTTTTTGCATTTAAACAAATAGGATGCTTTTTCTAAGCCTGAGCCAGTGAATTCTCGCTCCCAAACTTCAATGGAACCACATGGAGGTTTTCCTCGACGTCCGGCTCCGGTAAGTTGCTTGTTTGTGTGAAAAGCAGTTCTATTTACACTTCGGTTCAAATCCGATAACGCACATATCTTTTCACTTCACTAGGGCACTATCTTGGCTTCGAGTTTGCAAGAAAACAAAACGGTTAGTAGTAAAACGTTCTTGTTTAAACTTGTATTCAATGTTGGCGAAAGAATGGTCTACCTACTGGGTGCTAAACTTCAAATGCTTTTAAAATACGATACCAGCAGAGGTTTGTAATGCATTGCACTGTAAATTGTGTGTCTCATGATGTCTGCCTTTTTGTCTAGTTTGTTAGACATAATTAGGCGAACGGTAAGATAATCCGAATAATACCTTTTACTTTCATACACATCGTCTACTTTATAGTAAACGGACAAAAAATAATCTAGGGTTCGTGAGTTTTGCTGTTACCTCGAAATAAATGGCCTTGTTTTTAGACAATATTTCGTAGACATTCACATGGGATATGCTGTCAATTTTGGAAATGACTCTCTGATATTTAGCATTTCAGCAACTATGTCGTCTTGAAATTTGGTTCAGCATTTCCTTGTTAATAATTCAAAAGAGTATCTTTTCTCTTGACCTTCATGTGCTGTCGATACCATTGGGATCTTGATGAGTTTGTCTGTTTGGTTCTCCTCGTGCTATTCGTTAAGTAAAGGGGGGTGGGTGGACTTGGGGTTAAGTGAACACAAAATGTACATGGATCGATGCAATACCGACAAATGAGACTTAAGATTCCTGAGTCTATTTTCGTTCACGATAGGTGTCATTCACATCCAAAAGGTTATCGCCAAGCCGACCATCGTTCTCTTCAATATGCGATCGGGGCTGTGCTGCTGATATCGTAACCGTTAGTTTTTTATCAGTCCAGGTGGTAAATTGTTCCACAAATTTAATCATCTTCATCTTGAATTAATAAGTAGTCTTCGAGGAATAGCCCAAATGTCTTCTGTCTCTCTCTTTCTCAATTGTCTCTAACCCACCGTTATCTAGTGACTATCTCGATCGCAGTAATAGTATCGACGACAACTAGTTTACGACTGTGTATGTGTGTGTGTGTGTGTTGTATACTTAGTGAAAGATGAATCAAAACTAAGTAAAAAGCCAAAATGTTTGCGGTTTAGAGAGGTATTCTGCTTGAAATTAACTTGAGTGAACTTTTCTACATCATGGCGCTTTTGTTACTCTCATATTCTAGTTGTTAAGACAGGGAAAATGCATAGAGATGGCAAGACTACATGTCACAATGCAGTTCGTAAGTTTGTTCATGGTCAATTCTTTGGCGATCCTCATTCCACTCCATCTGGAATAAGTATGTTGCACCTTGTATTGGGGCAAATTCTCACAGTAAGAAGTGTTTTCTTATCGCGTTTTATCTGCTGCCACTTTTTCTTATTTTAGCCAATATCACCTTCTAACAATGACTCTTTTGCATCTAAAACCGAGACTCAGGTTGGCAGTAATTCGATATTAAGCCCTTCCTTTATAACTTCTACTTATTTTATCGTTTATCTTGAAACTCCTCCCTCAGACACTATCGACGGAAACATTTGAGTGTCCCAAATGCGCCAGAAAGTTTTATTCAAACGGTTTCCTTCAGTCTCACGTTAATTTGGAACATGTATGTTGTTTTGCTAATACTTTTTTTCCTTAAAATAATTTTTCTTAATGAGAATTAGTGTGAAATATTATGATAGTGAATTTCCACCCCACTGTTGTATTGGCATGTGGGCTTGTTAATGAATTCATCACCCCAAGCGTATTTATGTGACTGGCAACGATATATTTGACATTCAGTGCTCATTGTAGTCCATTTACAGTGAAATTGGGTGGTTGGACATAATTGCTGTCATATCAACCGATTCAGTCATTCGAGGTAGTTTAAAATGGGAATATCACCACGTAATCGCCCTCTTATGCAGACGTAGATGTTACTTTTCTGGTGAATGCAGGCGATTTGGACCAATTCTTATTCTTGACTACTTTTTTCATTTGTAGTAATGCTTAGGTATAGCTCTGCATTGTCTCCAGTGGTATTTTTAATTTTTGCAGAATTGAACGTGCTTGTAGCAAGTAAGTGGGGCTAAAACTCGCAGTTCTTTTACTCCCCATGTGCTAATACTGGGCCTCGAATTTTGCCTCGCTTAAATAGCTTTTTTTGT